TTGTTAAGGGAATCTGGCTTTCCCATTGACTTTGCTTGTCAGAAGATCCCAAAAGAGGATCATATGACCCCAGGGCACTGCAACCATCCTAAGTATGAATCAGTTGTCAAGTGACTCAATTTTGATCACATGACCTTGGGGATGCTGCAATGGTCCTTAGTGTGAAAAATGGTTGTAAGTCACTTTTTCAGTGCCTTTGTAATTTGGAACGCTCACTAAATGAACTGTTGTAAGTCAAGGATTACCTGTACTACTTTGTGGTAAGCCAGCAAAGGGTTCCCTTTGTATTGAAGCTCTTCTTTGGCCTCTTCAAACCAGGAGCCCAATCACAGCAGAGAATTTAGAAGGCTATAATAGTTGGCAACCTTGTGGGTTGTGCCCTCTATCGCAGGCATTAAGCCCTTACCATCTGTGGACCTGTCTGGCTCCAGAATCCTGGGAGTTAAAAGTCCGCAGATCATAAAGTTGCCCACCCCTACGCTGAAGGTACTACAGGTAGCCCTCAAGTTACAACCACAATTAAGCCCAAAATTTATGTTGCTGAGAAATTCGTTAAGCAAATTTTGCCTCATTTTACGACTTTTTTGACACATTTGTGAAGGGAATCGCTGCAGTTGGTTAAGTAAATCTGCTTTCCCCATTGACTTTGCTTGTCAAAAGGTCATAAAAGGGGATCATATAATCCCAGGACACTAACTGTCATAAATCTGAGTCACTGGTCAAGCATCCAAATGTAAACCATGTGTCCATAGGGATGCTGTAGTCATAAAAATGGTCAGTGCCATTGTAACTTCAAATGGTCACTAGATGAATGGTCACTAAATGTTGTAAGTCGAGGACTACCTATACAAAGACTAGACTAGAGAAACATGAGTGACTAACAATCACGTCAAGCTCACTCTCTTAGCCCTAGGAAAGAGGCAATGGCAAACTTCTGAAAATCCTTGCCAAGGAAACTGCAGGGACAATCCAGGCCATTACTAGAAGTCAAAAGGCACAAAGCAAAACAAATGTTTTTCTGCAGCATACATGTCATGATAGTCAAAAACTTACTCTCCGAAGCAGCCAAGAGCAAGGCAAGAAGTAACAGATGAAAGCTTAACAAAGAGTGATCCAACCTAAAACTAAGGAGAAATTTCCTGACGGTGAAAACAATCTGTGGAATGGTTTGTCTCCAGAAGTTGTGGGAGCTCCACCACTGGCGGTTTTCAAAAGGATTGGACAGTCATTTGTTCAAAATAGTATAGCATCTCCTGCTTTGGCAGTTTGACTAGAAGGCACTGTAATTCACAGTGGTGTGCTGATCACTTCTCGTTCAAGTACAATACATTTTTCCTCACTTAAGTTTCCTTAAGTTTTCATAGGAGCATTGCATGGGGAAACTTGATGTGGATATAAGTGGCAGGCTTCGTGCTAGACCCAGCAATATGTCTCAGGTCTCCAGACACCTAACCTATATTCAGAAACGCGCTTCTTGCCAGAATACTCCCAGATGTGACAAGATTGGTTTCTTTATTGCAAGAATAGAGCAACACGCACTAAAAGATTTGCCGCTTTAGCGCAAACACCAATGTGTGTGTGTGTGTGTATAAATGTATATTTGTTTTCTTTTTCGCGGGTACTTATATGTATGGTTTCCCACCACCACCCAGCACAGATAAACTCTGTGGCCAAAACACTAATCACCAGAACCAAACGCCTGGCAGACAAGACATACATAAAGTTTGTTCTGGCGATTAGTGTTTTGGCCACGGAATTTATCTGTGCTGGGTGGTGGTGGGATTGAGCATTGAGGTAGCGGTTAGTGTGTGTTTTCTTCTGGTATATGGTGTGTCCTAGTGTGCCATCTGTTTTTTTGTAGATTGGTACATCTAGGAATTGTAGTTGTTTGTCTGCCTGGCAGATAAGAAACACATAAAGAATGAACTATGCACCCTGACTAAAGTACTGACAGCTAACGGCTTCCACAGAAGCAAAATCACCAGCTTGATCCACAAAAACACACTGAGACATAATGGAGACCTAGAAGATGAACAGACCTATGGAACGGCTGTCCTGCCCTACATAAGAGGTACTACAGACAAAATCAGTAAGATACTACACAGCATCACATCAAGACTGCCTTCAAAACAGACAGAAAAATAGCAGCCATCCTAAGAAACCCCAAAGGTAAAATCGACCTGGAAAACCAAGGCATATATGAAGTCGCCTGTGCATCATGCCCTGCCACATACATTGGACAGACCAATAGAAGAATAAGTACCTGCCTGGATGAACACAATAATGCAGTCAAAAAGCTGGAACACACTTCCTCACTAGTCCAACACATGAAAGCAACAGGTCATAGCATCAACTTCAATGGCATCAAAACCCTAGCCACTATAGAAAACCCCAGCTACAGCATTATCAGAGAAGCCATAGAGATTTAAAAAAGATCTGCAAGCATGAATAGAAGAGATGATTCCACCAGACTGTCAATCATTTGGAAGCCTGCACTCACAAACCAAAAAATCTCCACACCACAAGCCAGCCAAACACCTGGGCACAAATAGACTCCCCCTGATACCTCCAGCTCAAACACACCCCAACCAGGCACCCAGATGAAACCTAGCTTCCTAATAAATGAAAGCCGTCCATTTACTCGGAGCCAAGCCACACTAGAAGCCTCCAATACAGGAACACAATGTTGCAAGACAAAAAAAGCCACAAAACAGACAGAAGATATTAGAAACACCAATCAAGCAGAACACAGCAAACTCCAAGACCAATAAACACAGACCAAGACTCCCAACCAATCAGGATGAAGAAAAAACCATTCTGGCACAGCAGTAGGCTAGTACCAAATTTAAAACAGAAAAAGCTGGGAAAGTCTGACTCACAAACGAACACTATACAGAAGCCTGATGATGGCAGATGAGATTCTGCCAAAACGTTGCTACAACTTTAAAAGCACAACTATAATGACGTGGGAAAATACCCAAACAAAGCTGAATACCATAAATGTATATGTATATATGTATGTATACACACACACACGCACACGCACACACACAGAATTAAAATAGGCTGTGTGAGGAGACAGCTACGTTATGACAGTGATTCTCTTGAGCCTGAGAACCGCACAGTCCTGTCTCACCAGCTTTATTTCTAGTAGTAACTCTGCAATTATGAGACCTTATTATCCATCTGACATATTACTGTTGGTGTTAATTTTCCATGTAGTCTGGTCCTCAGAAATAGTAATCACTTCTTGCTTATTCATTCTTGTATGTCAAAGCCTTGCATTTTGCAAGTGCAGTTCAGGAGATAATTTAAATGCACTATAACCTAGGAATTCCAGAGTTTAAAAGCCAGTTGATTTTTTTCCTACTCTGTTAGTGACATAAAGGTGGATATATTTTATATCTTGAACTACAGCTAGGTGTGGTAAGGAAGTGTTCAATACTCTTGAGCCTCATAGTTCGGGGACACAACTAGCCTACCAAGTAGCTGCAGAAAAGGGTTTGGGAGGAATTTTTATAGAAATTTTATAGAGTGTTGGACTAGAAGACTTCCAAGGTCCCTTTCAGCCCTATGATTCTCTGAACTTCTATCACCTGCTATCTCATCAACCAATTTAGCATTCAGCATTGTTAACATAATAGTTAACATTTGCAATCTGAGTACAAATTGGTGTTGTACAGGTAGTCCTCGACTTACGACCAGAATTGAGCCCCAAATTTCTGTTACTAAGTGAAACATTTGTTAAGTAAGTTTTGCTCCATTTTACAACCTTTCTTGTCACAGTTGTTAAGTGAATGGCTGCAGTTGTTAAATTAGTAACACAATTGTTAAGTGAATCTGGCTTCCCCACTGACTTTGCTTGCCTGATGGTCGCAAAAGGCTCTGGGATACTGTAATTGTCACAAATACTTGCCAGTTGCCAAGCATCCAAATTTTGATCATGCTACAGCGGTCGTAGGTGTGAAAAATGGTCATAAGTCCCTTTCTTGGTGGCATTGTAACTTTGAACTCTCATTAAACAAATGGTTGTACATGGAGGACTACTTGTATAAAACTGATTTGATGACTATTCTGAACCAGTTTTGGAAAAGACATGCCTTTTCTAAGCAATTGAGAAAAAAGTTGAATTTTCTTATGAATCTTACATATGTTAGCATGATCAAACTAGATGCTTTGGGTTTATTTTTGATTCAGAAGATCCATTATATTTTTATTCCCATCTATTTAGGCACATGCACATTTAACTTCTTTGAATCACCATCAGGCACTAGAAAAATAGTATCTCATTAAAAATAAAAACAACTTGGGCTTTCCTTTAAAAAGAAACTTGAAAAGCACTATTGGTCCAAAGTAATTTGTACCAGTCGTATTTGAATCTCTCAGCAATGCCTCTAAAGTAAACTCACAAAACTCTTCTTTTCCTTTCGTGCTCCATAGCCGTGTGTCTGGTGACCTAGCATTTGAATGTGTCTCTAATTGCTGAGTTAGTCACAAGTGCAGTTTGCCACAAGAGCTGGCGGGGGGAGGGGAATCCTTTCTTAAATGTCTGGGTCCACTGATTTCTCCTGGCTTCTTGAAATAAAGTTAACCTTGTCATTGTGTTTGTAAGTATGCTCTAATCCTGTGACCAGCTACTTCTCCTGAGCATTGAATTCAGCAGCTTCAGCCTAGGTGTCACATGCTGAATGTCATTACTTTTGACAGTGGAAATGAAGCAGATAATGCTTGCAACTGAGACTTTAGATTTAAGCTGCCATAAGTACCATAAGAGACTTAATGGTTCCATTCATCTCCTAAAACATGCTGAATGAGAAATAGGTGTTTTGGTCCTGGGTTTTCCCATTCAGGGAGGCTAAACTGCTTTTAAAGAAATACCTACAAGGAAGAAGAAAAAAAACCAATCCAATAATAATCACAAATGTTTTATATTTCTAACAATCTTTGTTTTGTTTTCTTATTTTTTTTAATGTGCTAATAAAACTACTCGTTTCTTTCAGGTGGGTGTACATGGCATTAGAATAGAATTCATCAATGAAAAAGGATCAAAACGCACAGCCACCTACTTACCTGAGGTTGCAAAGGAGCAAGGTCATTGTTGTGCTTTATCTCATATGATCTGGTGAAGAATTTAAACATGCCTAGGAACTTATAATGCAGTTTTTGACCTTGCCCTGATGTCAGATGATGGAGCGGTCCTTTGATTGTAAGGGATGACTCTTTTAAATGCCACTTACACACTTGTAGAATGCAGATCCCCTGGTTCAGAGTGCTTCCCTAGATTAAAGGGATCCAGACATAGGCAGCAGCTGCCAACAAAACAGCATTGGGCCAAAGAGTGATGAGAGATGGTGGACAAAATAATCCATCCAGATATAATGAAGGAATGCTCCAGACACCAGTGTGCAGAAAGCTCTTTTAAAGGGCCACTGTCACCATTTATGAAAACATTTCAGATTTTTTTAAAATCCTCTTACCTAACTGCTCCTGACCCAAAGGTGCTTTTTCAAGAGGCAACTGGACTTTCTTTGTTTTTCTTTGAAGATGTTTAACTTTTCATCCAAGAAGCTTCTTCAGTTCTGACTGACTGGTGAGAGAAAATAGGATTTATACTCTTGCAGTCATCTGGTCGTTAGCATTTTGTCTGAGAGCTGTTGGGGGTTTATCTGTGCCCTTTGGGTCACCTGAATCAGAGTGCAAACAAGTGTTGGAACTGCTGAAAGGGCTGTGTTGTAGATAGAGAGGTGGTGTCATGTACCTTCCCCTCTGCTGACAGAGAGCTGCACAATTTACACTCTGATTCAGATGACCAAGGGGTCATAGATGAACCTCCATCTAGCCTCAATGACTCTCAGAGTACTAATGACCAGATGACTGCAAGGAATATAAATCCTTCCGTTTCCCCACCACCATTGTCAGAACTAAAGAAGCTTTTTAAATGAGAAGCAAAACTTCTTCAATGAAAAATAAAGTGCACCTGCTTCTTAAAAAAGCCCTTTGGGACAACCATGACCTGGATGACTGAGAATGTCCATAGACTCTCTTCTGACATTTCTTTTAGATATACCCCTAAGGTAGGTTATTGAGATAATTCTCTGAAAAAAGGATATCAGGCAAGTCAAAGAAATAGAATTGGCCCTATCAGGTATAATCTTGGTCATAAAAATTGACTTAAGTTTTTTTGAACTATCCCCAAGACCTCTTGTACAGGATATAAAGAGCTATCATAAAAATGGAGAAAGGACTGACACAATGGGCACTGCCTAAATGCCAGACTTCAACTGAAAGCTATTGTTAAACAGCATTTTCCATGGTCACAGTTCAGAGTGTGACACTTAGTTTCTCTAAGGAGCGTAAGTGCTCATAAAATTTTCACTAGTAGGAAATTGGATTTTTTTTAAAAAAAGACTAGAAGTTACATATTTGTCAGGGTTTCTGTGCTGTGAAAGTGCACAGAATCTCCTGCTTATAATTTCGAAGAGTTGCATGGATATTATTGTTGATGTGATATGTATGTAATAGACAAAGTGCAGGTGGTCCTGGACTTACGACCACAATTTGGCCCAAAATTTCATTAAGTGAGACAGTAGTTAAAAGCGCTTTGCCTCATTTTACAACCTTTCTTGCCGCAGTTGTTAAGTGAATCACTGCAGGTGTTAAGTTAGTAGCATGGTTGTTAAGTGAATCTGGCTTTCCCATTGACTGCTTGTCAGAGGGTTGTAAAACATGGTCACGTGACCCTGGGACATGGCAACCGTCATAAACACGAGTCAGTTGCCAAATATCTGGATTTTGATCCTGTGTCCATGGGGATGTTGTGCTGGTTCTAAGTGTGAAAAACAGTCACAAGTCCCTTTTTTCAGTGCCATTGTAATTTTGAATAGTCACTAAATGAATTGTTGTAAATCAAGGATTACCTGAAGTTAATCCTATGGCATTGGCATTGTTCTCAAAACCTTTGGACAGGCAGGAACCAAGCAATAGTTTGTTGGATTGCATAATCCTTTGATAAAATGTAAATATTTGACCTTTGCGCTATAAAGTAGATTTCATTGCAAGGGTCTTTCATATTGACTTGTTCTAAACCAGGGGTCTCCAACCTTGGCAACTTTAAGCCTTTAATTTTGGGAGTCGAAGTCCTCCAGACTTAAAGTTGCCAAGGTTGGAGACCCCTGTTCTAAACTACATTGATTTTAGAATATTGATTGGAATATAAATAACAAAAAAAAGATGAAAATTTACCCTTGATTCCTCCTCCTTTCTGTTATTGCAGAAAAAAGGATCAAGAAATCTAAACAGAAAGAAGATTTCCCAGTGAACATCATGGCTGATTGAAAATCAGAAGGGTTCTCATAGTGCTTTTCTGACTAACAAGTTTTATTAGAAGACATGTTAGTCTCAAAAGAGGCTAGCAAAAACCTGACCTTTTGGTCTTTTGCTACTAACATGGCAGTTGTCCTACTAAGTCTGCAATACACAGTACTATAGATGATTAATGAAAATTCTTAATTTAGTTTTTCCTACACACAATTCGGTCCCCAAACTTAGAAGTGTTGAATGCCAGTTTCTATCATCCCCAGTGAGTGCCAGATTAGGGATGAGCCATTGTGTTACACTGCTTCTCATAACAGAACACAACACTGAAATGTTCAGCTTTTAACCAGCTTACCTGCAGGAAATCCCCCTAGAAATACAAATCTCCAGGCAGTTTGTATTCTTTGCAATCAGTTAAACCTTTTGCAAAACTCTGAGAGCTGATTTTTCTTTGTGTGTTCTCTTCTAATGACTATCCACAGGCTGGGACCATATTCAGACTATAGATTCCTTATTGAGGAAAGGAGGTTATAAGGCTCCAATCACAAACGATTTCAGGAAAACAATAAAACTGACCAGGTAAGAAGTCCTGTCCTGGGTTTTGCTGGAGTTCTATGCAGACCTTAGCTGTTCCTATCCCTGCACTCTTCTGGATGGAGAGCTCTGATGTCATTCCTGGGATCTGTTGGAACCCCTCTTCCACTTTAAGAGTCATGGCCCCAAGTGTTCCTATCCCTTTGGTCTTGACTGTCCACATCCATTCCAGTCTGAGGGCCTCAAGCCCATCAAGTAGTTGGTTTGACTGTTGAGGGGGGGGGGTGAGTTGTTACTAGGTTTTGTATTGGGCTTTTACTTCTGTAAACCGCTCAGAGTCACCATGGGTGAGTTGGGCAACTACATACATTTTCCTAATAAGTAAGTAGCAGACAGTGAGAACTGAAGTCTTGGCATGGCAGAGATGAGTTTTGGGAAGTTATATCTTAACCAAATAAATCTTCCTAGTTTTAGTTCTGTTGAATTTTTCTTGTTCTTCTGGTTTTCCTTTAATGCTTAAACCAGGCATGTCTAATCCGCAAGCCTTATGCTGCCCTGGACATCTAGTCATGTGACTCTACAAGATATAATAAAAATATTTCAAAAATCAAGGCAGTTTGTTATTTATCTACATTAACTATATTTAATATTTCCTATGCGGCCCAAGACAATTCGTCCTCTCTCAGTGAGGCTCAGGCAAGCCAAAGGTCAGACACCCATGTCTTAAACTGGAACAGAATAATGGAGTTGGAAGGGACATTGAAGTCTTTTAATTTTTCCTGCTTTAGCATAGCATAGCTTTACAGCACTCTCTGGGCGGTTTACAGAGCCAGCCTATGATCCCCAACACTCTGGGTCCTCATTTTACCCACCTCAGAAGGATGGAAGAATGAGTCAATGTTGAGCCAGTCAGGATCAAATTCTTAGCAGTGGGCAGAGTTAGCCTGCAATACTGTATTCAAACCACTGCTCCACCAAAAACTTTAGGAGGATTAAGCTTGTCCCACCCACCCCCTTCTCTCTTTATCCCTTTCTCTCCCCACTTTTCCTTTTAGGTATCGTAGTGAGAAGATGACTGTGAGCTACACAGAATACCTTGCCCACCGGCAGCATCACCACTTCCAAAATGGCATCGGGCACACCCTCCCCCCCTACAACCATTATTCCTGACACTGAGCCGTATGACCAGTCTCTGGACTTTTCTGCAAGCCTCTTCCCAGGAGAACCCCCTCCTTCTTGGTCTAGCTATCTCTATTACTGTACCATTTTATGATGATAATTTCCGTTGCCATGTTGACGCTTCTCCACCGCAGGTTAAGCTCGCCATGGCAACGGGTGGAAACGCTGCATCATTACAAAGAACCCCTTTTCTCCTCTCCCCCCCCCCTCTTTTTTTTTAATGAGTCACTGGGCTGGCTGGGTTTTCTTTTCTTTTTGTTATAACAACAAAAAAACAGGTTCTCTTTTTTAATAGTAACATTTTAAAGTTCTTCATTTATCACTCAATTGTATCGATTACCTTTTCTGTGAAACTGTTGATGGAAGGAAAGAATGCGAACGTGTCAGGGTAGAGAAGAATGAAATACAGTAGTCTGCTCTTAAAATCATAAAATCAGAAACAAGATAAAGATTGCCTTGAATAGGATGAGTTCTTTAGCAGTTCCCATGATAAAAATGGTTAGACTACGCGAACCTCTGATTCCTGGTCTGGTTGGCCCAGGCAAATATCAGTGATAAGCTGAATTAATTATGATGTGAAACAGATTGTGCTTTTGGTTTGTACCAGGGGTGTCCAACCTTAGCAACTCCTGGAATTCCCCAGCCAGCATGGACTTCAGCTCCCAATTATTCTCCAGACAGCATGGGTGGCTGGGAATTCTGGGAGTTGAAGTCCACAAGTCTTAAAATCACCAAGGTTGGACACCCCTGGTTTAGACAGACCCAGATTGAAGTCCTGGTTCAAATCCTTTCAAATTGCCAATTCAAATCACTGGAACTAAAAATTGACAGATAAATAGTCTCCCCACTCCTGGTTCTAAAATCTGTCTTTGGGTGGATGGTATGATCTGCCAAGCAGCACCAATCAGAGTCTCTCCAAGATTCTCTTTCACCTCTCCAGTGTTTCTTGTGGAGTCTAATCAGGAGGATTAGCTTGAAGAAACTGCTGTGTTAGGAAGTCAACAAATTTGGATATTAGTGCCTTAGGGGAAACAAGTTTTGGGGAGGAAGGCAAGGCTGCAGAAGCACAAGAGGAGTTATACCTATTCCAAATTCCAAACTTTCCACGCAGGTGAAAAATATTCTTTGGAGAGAAGGATACAATTTTTGCCTCTGACCTTACAAGGCTTGCCCCTGTACAAATTAGCCGTTCTTGATGGCACAATTTTTGGTGCTTTTGTTAATGAAATGAAAACCAAAGTAGGTGCACTGAAATAGAGAAAGAAAAAAGAAAAGCCCAGTGGTTTTTAGAAAAATCCTAATGGTTAGTAATTTTAAATTAAAAATGTAATAGCAGTTACCTTTTTTATGAAGCTGCAATGCAGTGCTAGAAGTATTTTTGGATAGTAGGTCTAGGAAATTGTACCAAGTTTTGCAGAATCGGAATTGTTACCATCTCAGGGTGGAAGTAGCAGAGGCAGCTCATCCTAACTCCTAACTCACTGAGTTCTCATTTCAGGCGGTTCCTGAACTCATACAAACTTTAATGAAATAGATCTCAGAGCTCTATTTCAGTGATCCTTCTTGAGAATTAGAAAAACATCTTGGAGGAAGCAGATCCCCCCCCCAATTTCACTCCATTTAGGGATGCGACCTTCATAGACATAGACTACCATAATAAGAGACAGGAAGCCGTATCACAGGCCCTGAAGGTTGAAAGAGTTGACTATGATCCCAGATGGGGAAGTAAGGAGAAAGCCATTTCATCACAGTCTTTCCTTCGATCCACAGTATTTGAACGTCTGGATACTAACTTTCTGTTTTGATGCCTTAATCTTCAAATAAGCAAAAATCCTGAAAAAAGTAAAAAAGGGCAATGGACGAGGAAAAGAACCCATTGGAGCTTCGGTTTGAAGTTCTGGGGTGTCTTTCCCTATCAGGAGGGTGGAGAGGGGGGTTCATTTTTTATGTGAAAAGTATTGTCGATTGCTGTCTAATTGCAACTTTCCCTGTTTTGCCTTGAAAGGGAAACTTGAGCACAAGTTAAAGCAAAATTTCTCTGCTGCAAGCATTTGGAATATCTACCATGGCATACACACACACACACCCACAGAGCCATCTTTCTCATTACAGTTCATGCTTCTGGGTGAGCTCAATGTTAAGTTTTTTTTTTTTTTAAGAAAAGAAAAGTCTATTATATATATATATATTAAATATATATATGTGTATTTAAAGGTGCTAATCATCTTAAGCAGGTCACGTGACTGGTCATGCGGACTCTAAAATCATATCAGATTTTTTTAGGAAAAAAAATCCTCAATATATGCAGATGTTATACAGAATTTCTTACCAGTGTAATAATGATATACTGATTTAAATAAAAATAATCCTGCAGGGTTTGAAGGAAGAGGTCAGCAATACTTCCCACCATGGCTTGGAGGAGGAACAAAAAAACAAAACAAAAAGGATCATCTTGTCAGCATAATGCACAATATTTTTTATTTTCTCTTGTTTTGGGTGTCTCGCTATTGCTTTGGGAACTTAATCAAAAACAACAGCTGTCATTCAAAGGACTGAACAAACTGGAAAGGTGTGCTTTAAAAAAAAAAAGAAAACCAAAAAAAAACCTCCAGACTCTTTTGAACCTGTTGTAAATCTATATGTTTGTTTTGAGAGTTATTCCTGGAATCTTGCAAGGCTGGCGAGATGTCTCAGCAAAAACCTGACGTATGGGTGGCGATCCGTGGGCTTCAGTGGCCTGTGGGCTTTGTTTTTTCCTGGTTGTTTCTTGGGTCAGGGAAGGGCTGGCCATGCAACTGGACTGCTGTTCTTGACGGCAGGGCTCTGCAACCGTGGCAACTTTAAGACTCGTGTGGACTTAAACTTCCAGAATTCCTCAACCAGCCTGGTTGAGGCTGAGGAATTCTGGCAGCTGAAGTCCACAAGTTGTAAAGTTGCCACGGTTGCAGAGGCCTGGCTTACTAAACTGCCCCAATCGTGCTGCCCTCCTTAGGTGTTTCCCTCAGACCCCAAATAGCTTTTGCGGTCCCTCCTTAGTCTGCAAAGCCGTGTCCATTTCCAACCTGGGGTTTTTTTGGTCAGTGAGCCATAGGTCGGTCTTGTTCAGGCGGCGTTTCTTGCCTTATTTCATTCCAAAAAATAAATCTAAAAGGCAGTTTAGTTTTAGCTTTAAATGTTTTCTTTCATACACCTGTGTGGTGAAGGACAGTTTGGGAACAAATGTCCAGCTGAAGCTAAGAGAGAGGAGATGGTGGGACCACCATTATATCCAGGAGAGAAGCGGGTGCATTGCACCATCTTTGTTCTGGGGTTGGACACAAACCCCGCAAGGAAAGATGCCTCCTTCCTGTGCTGATGCGCCATCAGCTGGAAGCACCTGGCCCACCCACCCACCCACACCCACCCCATTTCACGTTGATGATCTCAACCTCTTGATGTGTCTTCAACTTGTTCTGGATTCTTGAAACTGTCTGGAGTAGCCGAAATTTTTGTGTGTTGGACTGAACCAAAGACACCTCCAGCTGAGCCTCAATGCTGCTTCTTAAAATGTCTGCCTTCCGATCCTTCAAAGTCTCTGCAGGATGCAAATGGGTTAACTTTTTTATTTTTGTACAGTTTCTAACTGATTTTTGCTAGTAATGTTAATTAAGTTTGAGGAACCGCTGAGGCTCCTCTGATGAAATTAAACTGGTGACTTTTATGTTTAAATAAAATAATATAGAAACCCGACATGTGCCTCTCAGATTCTAAGGGTTTCTGGTTACACTTCTTAAGACCAGCAATGATTCTTTATATACAAAGATATGTTTTTTCCTTGTTTTTTATTATTACTGTTTCAGAAAGAAAGAAATAAACTTCCTTCTGCTCTGAAGCCAGTGGTCACACTGGTACATAAATGCACTGAGTTAAAAAGAAAAAAAACTTTTGTAACAACTTATGACTGTTTTTGTATATCAAAGCTGATTCTTTCCAAAAGATTTGGATCTAGTTTCTAAGTTATTTTAGTGTTTTATATGTTACAAGAATTAATTGTTCACCAGCATAATAACTAGTTATCTTCAATGGAAAAAGTGGCATAGGTGGGCTACCTGGAGTAGCTCAAGCCCCTCCCCCTTTTCCTTTGACTATTGATTACAATATTATCACAGGTTACCACAAACTTCCTTCCATTAAGACTCGATTCTTATTTCCATGTTTATTTGCTATTAGTGTGAAGAAACTGTTGATTAAAAAAAACGGGCATTTTATAAGTATGGCTTAAAGATAAAAATGAGGAAAAAGTTTAAAAAAAACTACTTTAGAAGGTAATTTGTGGGTCTGTGAGATATGGCTGTGGAAAGATATTGTAGTAGTTTTAACACTATTGTTATTACCTTTTAAATCATTTACCCAATAAAATGAGGAAAAATTGCAGCTGCTTGTATTAATGGTTTCCTTGCACTTTGATGCCTTTCCTTAAGTTTTAGATCTGGTTGTGTTCAACCAGAAGGAATGACGGGAACTAGAAAACCCCCCACCCCTCCCCACCCACAGAGGCAAGAGAGGTTTGAAATAAACTTTAGTGAAGTTTACAAGTAGTCCTTGGCTTACAACAGTTCACTTAGTGACCATTCAAAGTTACAACAGCAAAAAGTGACTTGGATCAGAGGAGATGTATCTCTATAAAAGTGGCCAGAATGAAAAGAAACAAGCTGTACATCCTAAAGGAGGTGGTTGAATTTAAGAAATAGGGTAGACCTCTTTCCAAAAGGTTAGGTTCTTTGGAATACACAGAAAATGTTAGGATTGGAAGAGACCCGGGAGGCCGTTCTAATCCAACCTGCTGCTCACCGCAGGATTTCCTATACTGAAGCTGACAGGAAAGTCTAATCTGCCCAGCCATCCACCATGATGAAGTTAGCATCAAGGAATGAAATTCAAGTTACAACCATTGGTATAAAATATCTATCTCCCTGAAACAAAACATAAGCATTTTTTTCCACAAACATTTTATTTTGAGATAGAAAAAAACATTTGAGACAAATTCTACAGAACCATAAGCCCAAATACACAATTGTGTTGGAAAATGACTTTTACATTTTAAAAAAATATTTTGTTTTTAAGAAATATCTTAATAAAATGACCTTCGTGGGTGATTCTATTTTTAATTCACCAAAAGTGAAAGTAATGGTACTTTTGACTATCCCTTGATAGACAGAATGAGCTGAAACTCTACCATTTGAAGACTATTTGAGTAGGAAAACAAGAAAAGATCATATGGCCATGAAGAATAAGGTTATTTTTGCTTTTTGCCAAGCTGCCAACTGAACTAAGACACTAGAAGGGCCATTTCAGACAGCTGCAGCAACATCGATAAACTTCCAAATTCCCAGATTTGTAAGAGCCAAATATCTTGGGTATATACATGTAACAGCTACACGTTTAACTAAAATTACAGCAATTCGAGAAACTTCCAGCCTTGAGGGCTCACAAAAACTCCTATATATATAGGAATTTTTGTGGGCCCTCAGGGCTGGAAGTTTCTCGAATTGCTGTAATTTTAGTTAAACGTGTATATATATATATTCTTGCATCATGAAAAGTTAATGGCGGTATATCCTATCTTTGCACAATCTCAGGTGTAGATAATACAGTATTAATCTGACGCTCATTGGGAGACTCAGTTCCCAGTTATTTTTTCCAAAGCACACTCAATTTCTATAATGAGAAAATATCAAAATCCTGACGCAGGTCGCAAAAGGAGCGGTTTCACTGAGGTACTTGACATTAAAAGTGCATACAAGCCAATCACTCGTTTCTGGCGGTCATCAAAAGACAACATCTAACTAGAATTCCAAGAAGTTCTACAGCCATAAATGGAAAGCATGAGCAACCTTGGGCTCAATGATCATACAAGATGTTTTTTTAAAAACACAGGAAAGCAAGACAGAAGGATTTCATACCCAGTAGATAGAAACAATTAGTGGAAGCCAACTTAGATTCTTCCAAGACTTTATGACAAAAGAGGTGATGGGAATGGTGATGCTAGGCGAGAGGACCGGAGAATTCCAAGGCTCTGTTTTTGGCCTCCATGACAATCTCTGCAGCTTTTTCCAAGCCTCATTCCAGGATGCTTTGAGCCAACCTTTTCATTCAAAGAATTTGTCACAGGCCAATGAAAGCTGCCAGGCATCAGTAAACAGTAACCACAAAAGGTTTTTATTTTGGAGGAGGCCAAAAGGGATGCAATCTGCAAATCCTTCTCTCTGAGTTAATCGATTCATGCTATTATTCCCTTCCCCCAACCAATCTATAAATTAAACGTGTGTCCCTCTAACTGTATTTTTCGTTCTCCCATACTTCCATTTAAAGAAGGAAATATGGCACTTTCCTTGGCATTTGCACTGTTAGTGATTTACAAAGATCACACCTGACCGAGGACAATGAATGTATCTTAAAAATTCAAAATAAAAAACGACAATGTCTTGCTGCTTCATTTCTCCCCAATAAAGCTTGCCAGCTTAAATTTAGAACAAGGAACAAGGAAAATCCCAGTTCTAGAACAAACAATATTAGCTATCTTCCCTGCTGAAGGTGCTATTTTTATCAAATGATAAAAAGCAACCTCTGCACAGAACTGGCACCAGCAGTCCCTAATCTCTCCATGATTTGATTGCTTCAGCCCAGAACTAAAATTCTAGTTCACAGAAGTTCCAACTTGGATCAACAGTCTCCACAGCTCTGCCAAATCACAGAATGAAAGAAAATACTCCCACAAAAGAGGTTTACAAGTCCCTGGTCTATTTATCCAGGATGCATGTAGAAGAAAACTCTTCAATAGGTGCTAGAGAGAAGTGACTTTAAAACAAGGTTCCCAATCTATTGTGATAGCAAGGCAGCATTTTCATCAAATAACCTGGTCTTGAACAGAGGACACAATGGTTTTTTTAATGTCTCAGCTATTGTATGATCTGAAAAGAAAACAAATGGCACCTGTTTTACGAGCAAGTAGCTCTGAAAGGAAATTTAAAGTCTCTCCGGCGATCAAGAGGCACCACACACCGATTACATGGTCTAGACCAGAGGTCTCCAACCTTGGCAACTTTAAGCCTGTGAACCTCAAATCCCAGAATTCCCCAGCCAGCTGCTGGCTGGGGAATTCTGGGAGTTGAAGTCCGCCAGGCTTGAAGTTGCCAAGGTTGGAGACCCCTGGTCTAGACTAGGGAAAACTAAGGCCATGGTGTGGATGATAAATATGGCACAGAATCAAAGGATAGGTCCAGATCGAAAATTGAGATCGCAGGAGGAATACAAAGATCACTTTCATTGACAGATCCAAATAAAAAATTCACCCTAGCTAATTCTTGGCTTTTAAAAAGAAAAAGAAAACTCAATATTCACTACTAAAAACAGATGCGTAATCTCCTTGTAAGTTTTATGGTCCTATATGGAAGGAGTCCTGAACAACTGTCACATGCACGCACACACTCTCACACAAGCACAAATACACTGTGGCTATGTTATTCATCTAGAAATTTCATTGCATGTCTACATATATCTGTTTAAATATACCATGTTGAAGAGTAAACATCAAAATTCATCAAAGCAGCAGCAGAAGACACATTGCTGCCCAGGGCCCCACTGGGTTTTGACATCAGGAATTTGGCCCAAGAAACACAGAGGTGAAATTTCCCACTGGGCAGCATAGAAGGAACTATGTCTTCTGATAGTAATGTGACAACTAAAGAATATTCACAGTTGAATATTTACAAAATGTATCAAGAGCTACAAATAAAAAACAACCACCACCAAGATCTATAAAGTCCCCAATAGAAGACTACTTCTCTGATCGCGCCAAACTGCAATGAGATTCAAGTTTTGGTCAACTGGAATGAAATTTCATAACTACACCAGTTCTTCATGATGAGTACCCACCCCACCCCACCCCATTACTTCCTACATTCAGGTGGAAACAGCAGATAAGATTGACCTTAAGGCAATTTTTCTCTGCTTGAGGTATCAAAGGCTGCCCAACATGGGACTTGTAAGGCAATAAAACTGGAGAGACTGGTGGGATGGGATCAAAGAGTAGCCAGAATCTAATTCAGAACAACTATCACAGCAACAACTCAAAAAGCTAGAGATTCTGCTCTGAGAATTACTTTTCTCCAACTTTTCAATGCTGAAAAGACAATTATTCTTCAATGTCTGTGAAGGATGATTTTTGGAGCTTAGCTACTTCAGTCAAACCTGACTAGCTTCACTATATATATATATATATATATAGTGAAGCTAGTCAGGTTTGACTGAAGTAGCTAAGCTCCAAAAATCATCCTTCACAGACAAGCCAAGCTAGCCATATATATATATATTCCGTGTATGCTGTCTTCCCCAAGGATATCCAAATATGTTGGTCTGCAGGACTCTCATCTAGCAGAGTCTTGCTAGATGGTGAAACATGGACGAAGAAAGGTTATGCTTTCTTCTGGAGTGTCCTAGAAGGGGCAGTTGATATATATGTGGACATAACATTGAATACATGTATGTACAATATGTAATACATTTATGTAAGTATGCTTAACTATGACATAAAGTCCAACTCCAAATTGGCAGATTCTCTTGGTCAATGCCTTTAACTGAGACAAATCCATCTCCTAAATCTTAATCCAGCAATTAAGCTGCTTTTCACCAATTAATTTAGAACAATCTGAAAGGTGCCAGCGATATGATGGCATCTGGCCAGGCTTCAGCTTAAACTTTCAGGAGATTCAGGAGGCAGTGTTTGGCAAGTAGGTTGTTATTGTTTAACCAATTTCAACAACCCAACAGCCTTCCCATCTGCACTGATAGTGTGGAAGCACCAAATACTATTCACGCTCAAAGTCTATATGAGACAAGAAGAGGTTCTTTGCTGAAGGTAAAACCTAAGAGCTGCCACACAGGAGAAAAACCCACTGAAGTCACAAGAACATGGATTAGTGCTTTCCATCAGCTTTCCATGATATGATGGACATCTGAAATTCCAAAGGTCTAAGGTGGCAAGATCAGTAGTTGCACTCTACTTGTGGCTTTTTGTAAATAACCCCACGTGTTTTGCCATCCTTGCCAACTACAGGTAATGAAGATTCAGCAGAAAAGTGGGAAGATAAACCTGATGTCATAATAGAAGAAAGAAATTGAAAACAATATAGGAAGTGTTCTTCTCCAATCCCAAATATCATGGTTCTCCTTTAGATCCTTCAAGAAAGAAACCAGAATGGAGATTCAGGATACTTTCTTAGCCGGAGATCGTAGTACATCCACACCAAGCTTAAAGAAAGGGACAGCATTATAGAAAAGGAGAAGGATGAGTTTTCCATGGAACAGGGTCATGATGGATTGGTGTCCCGAAGCCCAGATTCTATACCAAGGTCCGTAGAAAGGATCAGAAATAGCCGGGCACAGCATGTTATTCAAGTTCACTTCAGTGATCTAGAAGAGCAGGAGAAAGATTGGTTTACAACAATTTGCCCTACTTTAAGAAAAGTAATAATGCCCCAACCCTTAAATATTTTATTCATTGATTTATTTCATATGTCACTCATCTCACTATCCATAGTGACTATGAACCTGAAATATGTCAGTTCTTCTTTGTCTCCTCTTGCACCCCAAACAACACCCTCAAACAGATGTAATTTTGAAGCTTTTTAGCACTCTGGAGTTTCCTCTGTTTAATATACTTAGCCAGATGGTAAACCATTTAAAATAAGAATTCTTTTCTCTTTTCTTCAAGCTACTCTTCTGTTTTTTCTTTTTACTTACCTGCTCCATTTGCATATTTTTAATAAATCCACCAACACACAACTCAAAGAAAGATCTACAATCCATATAAGTAAATTGACTTACGAGTCCCAAGATCTGTAAAAAACTGTAGTGGTAGACAAACATCAATCCAGTGGACAGCAAGGCCCACCAAAAATTCCAGGATGGCTCAGGAGTGTAGACACCTTTTAGAAAGAGAGAAAAAGAGAAAATTATTTTGGGCTATTTCAAGGTGGACACCATTCTTCCTTTAACGAAGTATCCATTTTCACCCTGAAAATCCAAGATTATTGCAATAGAAAACATAAGCTAGTAGGAATACCTCTGTTGTAGATCAGATTGAAAGCCAAAGAAGAGAACTGCAAACATTTCAAGATACCGAGAAGACCATGGCTGGCTCCTGGCTAGAAAAATTTGCATACTAATCCCGGTAGTCCTCAATTTACGACCACAGCTGAAATTTATGTTGCTAAGTAAGAAATTTGTTAATTGAGTTTGGCCCCATTTTACAATTTTTCTTGCCCCACTTGTTAAGTAATTCATGGAAGTTGTTAAATTAGTAACACGGCTGTTAAGTGAATCTGGCTTCCCCATTGACTTTGCTTGTCAGAAGGTAGCAAAAGGGGAATCACACAACCCCGGCAGACTGCAACAGTCCTAAATATGAGTCAGTTGTCAAGGATCTGAATTTTGATCACATGATTGTAGGGATGCTCAATGGCTGTAACTCAAGAATGGTCAAAAGTCACTTTTTTCAATGACATAATGTAATTTTGGTCTCTAAGTGAACTGTTGTAAGTCGAGGACTACCTGTATTTCAGCAAACCAGGACCACAGAGGTCAATGCCAGAGCAGGCATGAAAGTTACACAGCCTCATTCAGCCAGACTACGATTAGTCCTTGAATCATGATCATTTGTTTAGTGACCATTCAAATTGCAACTACAGATGATCCTGCACTTACAACCGTAATTGAGCCCAACATTTATGTTGCTGAATGAGACAGTTGTTACGGGAGTTTTGCCCCATTTTATGACTTTCTTTGCAAAGTTGTTAAGTGAATCCCTGCAGTTGTTCAGTTAGTAATACGATTGTTAAGTGGACTCTGGCTTCCCCATTGACTTTGCTTATCAGAAGGTCACAAACGGTGATCCCAGGACACAGCAACTGTCATAAATATGAGTCAGATGCCAAACATCTGAATTTTGATCCCATGCCCATTAGAATGCTACGAGCGTCATGAAGTGTGAAAAACATCAAATTTTTCAGTGCTGTTGTAACTTTGAATGGTCACTAAATGAACTGTTAAAAGTCAAGGACTACCTGTATTCATGTGAATCAGGAGGAGTGTCTATTTGAGACATTTGTGCAATCCTCCCCCGTTATTTGGACCTGTTCTGACTCAAACCTTGTTCAAATCAAAGAAACACAAAGTATATATAAAAGCAAACCTTTTTAATGTGTCTCTGTGAATTCTGTTCATTCACAGCAAAGAGTCATTCAAACTAATTGTCCTAGATAAGGTTATGAAAGGTTGCCAAGAACACAAGAGTAATTGCAGAGAAAAAGCCAAAAGTCTCTGAAAACAAACCAAAATAGACAGGACCTCCACAGGAACTTTGAGTTGAAAGAACTTCTTTGCTTCCTGCAAAGAAGCCAACCCCGAAGGCTGGCTTTTATCCCATTTGGGAGGAGCCATCACCTTGCAGTCACCCGAGTCACCCATACTACTTCAGCTGCTCTTTCCTTTGAGCAGCCCTGCGCATATGCGCGCTGAGCACAGGCACCTCAGAGTCCTCTTTGTCACTGCTGCCAGACTCCACAAGCTCCGAAGGCAGCACCCCACTCTCTGGTAGTCCTGCCCCATCCCTTCATCACTACGCAGGCCCCTCATCTTAGTCCTCACTCTCAGAGACCTGCACCTGCTGCCAGTGAACCACAACAGGACTTATGCAAATTTCCTTTAGAGGTAGTCCTCAACCTACAATCACTTGTTTAGTGACCGAAGTTTGCAGCAGCACTGAAAAAAGTGACTTTCACACTTTCATGCCTATAACCATCGCAGCATCCCCATGGTCACGTGATCAAAGTTTGGGCGCTTGGCAACTGGCATGTATAATAAGCATGATAAGTCAATGGGGGGAGCCTGATTCACTTAACAACCTCATGATTCACTTAACAATGACAGCAATTCGCTTAAGCATGGTAAAAATGGGACACACTTAATAACTGTCTTGCTTAGCAACAGAAACTCAAATTGTGGCATCAGATGTCAAGGACTACTTGTAGATCAGGGGTGTCAAACTCAAGGCCTGCGGGCTGGATCCAGCCTATGGGGTGCTTAGATCTGGCCCGCAGGGTCACCCAGGAAACAGCAAGGGACTGGCCTGCAATGCCTCTACCAGTAAAAACGGGCTCCCAAGCTCCATTTCCAGCTGCAACAGCCTCCTGCAACCCTCGGTCAAGGGAGGCTGTCACAGCCGGAAACAGAGCTCGGGAGCCTATTTTTGCTGGCAGAGCACTCTGGCCATCAGAGGAGCCCCTGATATGAGTGACGTCAAGCTGGCCATGCCCACCCCGGCACACACACCCCAGCACCACCATCTCTGAAGTCATATATAACCCTGATGCGGCCCTCAATGAAATCGAGTTTGACATCCCTGTTGTAGAGAGTAATAACAATTTGATGCATTGCTCTAGAAACAGTTAACTAGAAAGCTTGCTTGCCCCCCCCAGACATACTCTAGAAGCATCTGGTTTGATGGCAGGAGCTTTCAAACAATGCACTGTACAAGCCAAGGGAAAAAAACCCGGGCAAATTCCTGGCAACTAAGCCAGCTGGAAAAGAAATCTACATGCTTATTTTTCCAAGCATCAATGGCTCCTATTCTGAGCTTTTGAATTTCAGCTCAAAAATGCTTCCTCTTCCCTCTTTGATGCCTCTCCAGTCAGAAATTCCTTCTCTGCATACAGTGGAAAATCACTGAATGGAGACTCATCTGGGAAATGGGTAAAAAGGAAGAGTAGAGAGAAGAGAAACAGTTGGGAAGAGCTGAAATTACACTTTTTTTTTCTTCCCAGCCTAACTCAACTTTTCCAGAGCTCCTCAGCTGGCCCTTGACTTACAGCCATTTGTTTAACAACAAAAATTGCAACCATATTGAAAAATGTGACTTATGACCAATTCTTGCACTTGCACCTACTGCAGCATCCCTAGTCATGTGATCAAAATTTGGGCACTTGCAAACAGGCATTTACAAAAGTTGCAGCATCCCAGGGTCACGTGATCACCATATACACACTCACTCTCTCTATATATATATATGTGTGTGTGTGTGTGTGTGTGTGTGTGCGCGCGCGCGCGCGCGCGTGCGCGCGCGTGTGTATGGCATTCAGCTTTGTTTGGGTATTTTCCCACGTCATTGTAGTTGTGCTTTTAAAGTTGTAGCAACGTTTCGGCAGAATCTCATCTGCCATCATCAGGCTTCTGTATTAATGCCAACGATGGCAGATGAGATTCTGCCGAAACGTTGCTACAACTTTAAAAGAACAACTACAATGACGTGGGAAAATACCCGAACAAAGCTGAATGCCATACATGTAAGTACCCGCGAAAACTTAAGAAAATACACACACACACACACACACACACACACACACATCATTTATTAGAAAGCTAAGTTTTATCTGGGTGCCTGGTCGGGGTGTGTTTGAGTTGGAGGTATCAGGGGGAGTCTGTTTGTGCCCAGGTGTTTGGCTGGCTTGTGGTGTGGAGATTTTTTTGTTTGAGAATGCAGGCTTCCAGATAATTGACAGTCTGGTGGGCTGAATAGAAGAGATGACTAGCTTCCTAACAAATGATAGCCATCCATTTACTCGGAGCCAAGCTGCACTAAAAGCCTCCAATACAGGAACGCAATGTTGCCAGCCAATCAAGATAAAAAAGCCACAAAACAGACAGAAGATATTAGAAACACCAATCAAGCAGAACACAGCAAACTCCAAGACCAATAAACACAGACCAAGTCTCCTAACCAATCGGGATGAAGAAAAAACCATTCTGGCACAGCATAGGCTAGCCCCAAATTTAAAACTGAAATGGCTGTGAAAGTCTGGCTCACAGACGAACACAATACAGAATCCTGATGATGGCAGATGAGATTCTGCCAAAACATTGCTACAACTTTAAACGCACAACTATAATGATGTGGGAAAATACCCAAACAAAGCTGAATACCATACACACACACACACACACACACACACACACACATATATCTCAGCCAGCTCCTGACAAGTGAGGTCAATGAGGGAAGCCAGATTTGTTTAATGTCTGCATTTCTCTAACAGCTGCAATGATTAGCTTAACAATCTATAACCCAAAAATGTGGTGAAATAGAGTGAAATTCGCTTAACAACTGCTTATTTAGCAATATAAATTTTGGTCCCAGTTGTGGTCCTTAAGTGGGGGATTATCTGCAGAAAAAGGTTAGCAAAATCTTTGGAGTTTAACTCCATCTTCTAAACCAAAACTAGAGAAACTTCAACACAGCTTAGCAGAAATCTGAATTGGGTCTCATGTGTTTGGTAAGTGATAGTTTTGATTTAAGCTTTGCTGAGACCTTAATAACAAATTTCATGCTGTTAAAATAATAAGGGCGAGGGCAATCTCAAAAGAACATCCTACCACATAAGATAGTCAACAGATCTCAAAGGAATCCATGGAAAGTGGATGAGATCCAGAGTCTGAGTTCTTGGATCTTGCCACCAAGATCCTGTTTGTTTGTTTGTTTGTTTAGAAAAATTATCTAGCTGAGGACTTATATTGCAATTTGCTCATGATAGTTATGAGAACTATGAACCACTCTACTGTTGGGAGCCTTCCCATAGATAGAACATAGAATCAAAGGGATTGCAGACAGGAGTATAAATCATTCCATTCCCCATCATCTAGTCGGACCTGAAGAAGAAGCTTCTTGGATGAGAAGCGAAACATCTTCAAAAGAAAAAGCAGAAAGTCCAGCTGCCTCTTGAAAAAAGCATCTTTGGGACAACCCTGACCTGGAGGACTGAGACGCTCCATAGACATTCTGGACAAATGGTTGTCCAGTCTCTTGTTAAGAGCCTCCAGTGTTGGAGCACCCACAACTTCTGGAGGCAAGTTGTTCCGCTGTAGGAACTTTCTC